TGCTGAAATCAAAACATTTTCTACCATTGACCCCCAACAGGAGCTGAATCAACCAAAAATGTACTAGAACGGCCTAGGACAGCGGTTCCCAATCTGTGGTACGCGTACCACCAGTGGTATGCAGACAACCTGTCAGTGGTACACATTAACAGACTGAAAAATTTGCTGGTGTTACTTAAGGTTGTTTTAACGTGGTGGTGCATAACCTATAAGAGTTTGGGAAGCACTGGCCTAGGAGCTTAATTTTGAGAACCTGTTTCTTGCAGTTCCCATGTAACTCAACTTGGGTTTTGGTGAAAAGTGCTTCTGGGGAACAATCGGTCATTAAATGAGGGCAAAAAGGGAAGATAAGCCTAATGCAAGAGTTGAAAATGTGTATTTATTTAAGTGGGAGTTTTGATTAAGTAACGATTACAGGATCTATTTTTGTGCGTGCATGCATGCATGCGTGTGTGTGTGTGTACGTGCAAGCCCCATCACAGTCACAGACCAGCATCCTGAAAGACTTGAATCAGGATTGCTCAGAGATCTTTTTTACAACCCAGCAATTGAAAATGATTAACTAGTGCTAGGTTTTATCAAAATGGGTTTTGAAGACTGTAGGAGATGTGATGCAGTTAGGCTATGCTTCAGAGTAAACAGATGTGTGCACTTTCACCCAGTCTGAACACTTTGTGGATTTTCACATGGCGGGGGGAATCACCATTCTGAAAACTCCACTGTAACTTGATCCTGTGCAGCACCTTTGATTGTCTGGGGGAACTGGACGGAGGGGCCTTGGTAGGCTTATTAAATTTCTCTTCTGGGGTATTGTCTCTACTTACTGGGCACTTACTGTGGGTAGTAAAACACAGGAAAGATGGCAGGAGTAACTAGTCCTGAATCTATGCAACAAAGAAATGCTTAACCCCGCTGCAAAGATGAGGGCTTGTGATGTTTCCAGGAGTATATATAGCAAACAGTTGCACAAAACTACTGATGTGCTCTAGCTGAGTGGAGAAGCAGTATCCTTCAAAGTAAAAGTCACGAAGGATGAACTGCTTAGTCGACTGTCATTTGGCAGCCTTCTGCAAACTAAGTTGTGAACCCCCCTTCTCCCAGATACAAATGATCCGGGTAAAACCGTACCTTACACTTTTGCGCAACCACTTGTACCTCTGCAGAATAGTTGTGTATAAAACACCTATTTTGATCAAAACTTGGTGTCTACGCAAAGTGCCCTGGGCCATGAATCAAGCTTCACCATGCCATGTAGGTTCAGGGAATAATCAAGTCCATGACTGAGGAATCTGTCTGGAGGAGGTATCATTGAATGTTAGGTGAATTGAAAAATAAAAAAAATCTGGCATGCTGCATCAAGACCAAAAAAGATTTCTATGGGAATAGGAAGTCTTCAAGATACAGTTCATATAATATCACTATACATGTGAAG